TTAGTTATCAATTAACCTAACAGTCGGGTTTTTGGTCTGTGGGAGGAAGCCGGAGTACCCGGAGAAAACCCACACATGCACGGAGAGAACATGCAAAGTCTTACCCAGAAAGGTCCCCGAAAAAAGTAAATAAATATCCTGATACAAATTAACACCATGACAGAAACATGTTCCCACAGTTTTATGTATCACTTCCCACCTGAATCTGTGTTTTAACAGAATTTCATTCAGTGTGAAACCTTGCTTGAAACATCCTTATCACAGAGAGATGACAGTGAAGACATAACTGTACAGGTACAAATATCACATTTATTAAACAGCTGACAATAAAGGCACAATAAAAAACAATTACAAAAGCACACTGAAAAACACAAACCGGAGCTGTTGCATTGATTTCTGCAAGACTTCATGTAGGGTTACAGCAATAATACCACCTTAAAATATGTCCACCTTAAGCCCTGAATCCTACATGGGGTTATATAAAACCCTCACTGCTGAGGATMGTGACACTAATAACATCTAAGTGGAGCAGAGAGAAGGAGAAATCCTTTATCAGAATAATTAAATACTATATTTGATGTTTTTATCAAATCATAAAATCACATCTGTGTTTAAGGCATCAATGGAAGAACATTCATTCTGCTGTGACTAAATCAATCATTACACCCTGAGACAAATATGTGCTTAAACTCAGATAGAGAACCTGTTTAAAAACTGTACAGGCAATAGTCTGATTATAGAAACGCATCTTCCTTCAGCTGTCCACACCTCACGGCTCAGAGAGACGAGGCTTCATCTGGACAAACGTGAAGTTGTAGAACAGCGGGAGGCCCTGGTGGCTGACGCTGCTGAACTGATCCCAGGAGAACGGCGTGAGGCCGTCCTGCGTTGTTGGCCCGTTCACCGCCTCGGCAACAAAATCCCCCGCCAAGTGGAAATCTGTCACCTGAACGGAGAACAACACGAGCTGTTACGGCCCAGGCTGGACCATGATTTTATTTCTCTGTGATGTCTGTGGATGTAACTGGTTAGCTTCCTTGTGAAAATAACCAAACTTTGGAGTGATGTAGTGATTATGTTAGTTTTTATGAAGATCTTTTGAGACAGTTTTCTTGTTCATGCTTGTTTATAGATTCACTGGACTTCTTTATTTTTAGTTGGTTTAGGCAGCACTTTATTGGGGAAGATAATATGTTTTGTTTGTTATCTTGAATTTGCTTCATCCTGAAATCAGTTTGTTCACATTATTGCACACTTTGTTAAKAAATTGACTTCTCCTGTCTATGATTTGGCTTTTGGAACATTCTAATTGGCAGCTTGTTGGGGATTTGAACCCAGGACCTTACAGTGAACTTTGTTGGGAAAAGCTGCACAGCACCCAAACAGTTCAGTCCTTGTTTGGCTCACTGTTTGGTTTGCATCGCAGCAAGGGAATAAGAAAGGCTAAGGATAAGGAACGCTTCAGGAAAAACACAGAAGGAGGTTCAAAGACAGCAACCACTATCAAAACTTGAGGAAACAATGACAAATTATATTTATAAATCTTCCAAATGGAAATTTTTAGTGTACATCACTTAACTATTTTTGTTAAACAATGTATTTTTGTCTCGTTTTGCTRCAGCTTGTTTGGTCACTTTGCTCTTTGACCATTTCGTACTAGTGATGTGCACATTGATACTGAAATATTGATACCACCGATACCAGAACTTTATACTGTAAAATCAAAATATCCATACTTTGATACTTCAGTCATTTCAGGAAATGTACTTTATCAACAGGAACACTGTGGAAAGTAACTAAACTATTCAAATTTGGTCTAAAACATACACAGCTGATGGGATTACTTTTTCTTCCACCTGGGTAATGTGTAAGCACAGCGGCACGTGTTCAGTCAGTCACTCAGATGTTACATGTTCAGTATTTTCATGTTAATATGTTCATGTAACGTAAATGAAGACAAGTTTTAAATTTTTTTAGTAGTTTGAAAAAAATTAACAATTTATTTAAATTGCTTTTTTGCTGTGATGGACTTATAACCTGTCCAGGGTGTACCCCACCCCTCTCACAGGGACTGATGGATATGGGTACCACTGACCCAGTGATCCTAATGGATGAATGGATTTAATGTTGTTTAAATCACCGTTTTCACATACTTTGTATTATTGTGCACTAATGTAATCTGATTGTCGCTTTGTTCCTTTGATCCTCTGTTTCTTCACGCTGCTGAAGCAGGTGCAGGAAAGTCACAGCAGGCATAAGGTTGCAGTATAAAGCAGTGATGATACTACAGATTTCCTTTCCAGTTCTGATACTGAATAAAACTCAGGCTGGTATCAGCGATGCTGATCTGATACTGATACTTTGAGCAGATACACATAATGGGCCTCATGCAAGAACCGTTCGTACACACAGATTTGTTCTTAAGTTGTGCGTACGAGTGATTTAGGAG